AAACCCGGTGAGATTTAGAACAGCTTTCGCTACCATGTCTGCTTTTTAGTTTCCGGCTATCTCTATGTGTGCTGGGCACCAAATAATAGTTATATTAATTTGGGGAGGTACGGCAAATCAGAATTATTAGTTATATGAGTTAAAGATGTGTCAACAACCGGAATCATAAGGGCCGAGGGCATATTTCTAGCTGGTCGTCGTTCGGAAGTAGGGACATCTTTCACGTCTCAGTCTTTCACCAACAGATTAGAACTTACTACGAAGGGGGAGTGGGGGGGGGGGGTTCTTTAAACTTGGAATAAGCAATGCCACAAAATCAAAGAATGCGATACACCTGTTTTTTTTTATCCTATTGGACCTAATCCGGGTATGGTGTTTTAGGGTCTGTTTTTGATTTCAGCCTCAACATCTTGGTCCCGAGTTGCTGTAGGCCACAGGTCCCCAAGTGCCACCCTTATGGCAGTGATTTGAATAATATCTAGTTTTTTAAGAACATTGTTATTAACACTAGAATAGATTTGTGCAACCCACTCTATTTTTGAACATTAAGGATTATATAGAAATATAATGCTACTTTACCTCGTTCCAAAATCAGCGCCTTTTAATATACGCATGACATTCACTTTCTCATCAAAAGATTTTTTTTTTCAAAAAAAGTTTACGTGTAATCTGTTAAGTTTGAGAGACAACCGAAACCTTACAAGCCTGGTATGTGAAAATTCCTTTTGTTAACAAGAATAAGTAGGCTACAGAAGCTGGTCTCAAAGCATTGCATACAAGCTAGTGTCACTAGTTCTCGCACACTTCGTAAACTTCGTATCTCATGTAGAGTCGTCATGTATGTCATTTATAGGGATATAGGCAAAAGCTAGAAAAGGTAAGTTTACAAAGACAAATTTTACAGACCACCATCCCTATTCCTCCACTATGTTAAAGTTAACAACAGTCTTTCCTGATCTATAATCCTTTAAAATAAAACATACTTTTTTATTTTGTTTATAACCTTAGCGACAGATGGGTGCGAGAAAGAACAGCCAAATATGAATACCGGCAGTGGAAATAATCTCCGCTTGAAAAAATAGCAACAATGATCTTTCTTATTTTGTCTTTTTTGGTCATTAAGGTATAAAAAAAATATCTGCCTAAATGGTTTTAATGCGAATAAATAAATGTAAAGGGCAAAATAAATTAAAATAAATTAAAATAAATTAAAAAAGCCCACAAAAACAACAACAACAAACCCGCCTAAAACAAAACAAAACAAACAACCCTACACAACCGCGATTAATAATTGACTTTAAGAGGCAATGCAGAATTTGAATATATTTATGGTGACTTACTTTATGACTCTTTTCCAATAAAACGAAATACATTTTACTTCCTTATTCAGAAAAGATTTGACACAGATTGCTTTCGTCGTAAATCACACAGTTATTTTATACATTAAAATTTAAAACGAATAACATATTGTCACTGAATAAAATTTGAAATATCCGAAATATGATATCATTATCTTAATAAATTATTATTAGGATTATGACTAGTGCAAAACATTTTTTACGACAAAGCTAACACACTTAAACATTTTATGTTATTTAAGGTAATAATAATCAAACTGCTTAAAGTTTCAAGCGTGGAAATATTAACATTAGAAGTTGTCAATAAAGGTAAGTCAAACTTAATATACAGTACAGTTATTTCTTAAGATATAAGTAACAGAAACAAAAAATGTTGACGATTGAACAAAAAAGTAAAAGAATACATAAAACATAATTGAATGCGTGGCAATTTTTAACGTCCAATTTACATGATTTCAATTTAAGCATAATCTCAAAATTCTACCAATTATCCATATTATTTATAACAGAAGAAAGAAATCGACTAAAGTGTTGCCTTATTGTAGGAAAAACCATTGCCCTCTAATGTAACAAAAACATGTTTAAGGCATGTTTGAGTAGGCCAAACTGGTTGTAGGAAGAGGACAGAAATAAAGGTCAATACTGTATTGACATTTATATAATGTCAAAATTAAGCGGCCAAAATTTGTAAACTTTATTTGTTTAAGTCAGTACGTTGACGTTTTTTTTGCATTGTCTAAAATAACCCTCAACGCAACGCAACGCTTATCATTTAATTCCGGCTAAAAAAACACACACATTGATTTTCCATTTAATTATGAACATATTTCTTTGTTATCTTTTCCACTTTAATTCTTTACTTGATATTTGTAAGATTTTCAAATTTTATGTTTTTAGGCCTTTAGACCTCATTGAAGGGGATGTAAGGTCTTACAGTTCAAAAACAGTTTACAGGACTGCGTTTTCCAAGTCTCACAACACGAAAAAAAGACGGCATTGTTGCCAGGCTTAGAAAACCTAAATGAGAGAAAACCCAAAACATAACTTTGTTCTAAATCGAATCGCAGTTTATACATAAAATGTCAAAAGGTATTTTTTTTCAAACATTTTTTATTTTCGTTGTCTTATTACAGTGTACAAAAAATACTCATTAGCCATTTTCCTGAGCCACCTTTTAATTCTTTTGCATTTTGGAAATAATTACACTAATTTAAGTGATTTAGTATTTGGAAGTTAGAATACCATTTTGTTTTTGTTTTGCAACATTAATCAATACTTTTTCAAATTCAACATTTTCATTCTTTCAAGTGTTAAATACATGTATCGCACATGTTCTAAATCTATTATTAAATCATTATAGATAACATCTTTACCATTTCTACAGAAGAACAAAAATATTTATTTATAGACACAATGTCCCTTTACCGTCCCTTAACATAGCACTGATCAAGATATTAAATGTTAAAAATGTGTTTTAAAACATAACGAGTGACTCGCCTATCAAACTAGTTTATCAAATACATCGCGTGGAAATGCGATACAGAAATGCGAATATTTTACGATTACAAAACCATCATAAATAATACATAAGTAAATACAACTTTATCTACTCCAAAGGATTAAACTGCGTCTTCTGGCATGTTGCCAAAGTAGAGAATGAATGTGATAGACATTACAAACAGATATCTTTCTATTAAACAGAAGGTACACGAGAGAACAAACATAGTGCAAAAAAGGTCACCGAGATAACGTTATATAAAACTGACGTCAAACTATGCACGCTATTTTTTAATATACCGCATACACAATACTATTCCTACTCACTATTTCTATGGCGCGTTGTGATATATTATTGACGCAGGACAGAAATTCCCGAAATACATGCATTAATAAAACGTTTTCATCAAACCATTATATTGCATTACATTACATTTATATTATGGGTAGCTTACCTGAGTTCTGAACTGATACGCCATGCCCGCCTGCTCTCGTGATGTAAAGCAGTAAATTGTGATTTATGTTATGAATCTATCGTGCGGTCGTTTATTTGCGATAATATATTTTCTATAAATATTCAATTTAGTAGAATATTTGTATGTATCTTTTGATATAGAAACAGCTACAATTTCTTTCAATGGCAGAAATGCAAGCGTTGAATAACCATTTATGGATGCCTATAGTAAGTCATGAAAATTGTGTTTGTGAAAACATATCCACACATCGATAAATGAAAAGAATTAACTTAGCCGATTATTTGAACGAATAATTAATTATGAATCTAAGAAGAAATACATAACACTTAGACTCTACCATGAATACATATAAAAAGCTAAACACTATAAAAAGATGCTAACAGTAGGCATATGTATAGTCCTATGCACCCATTCCGTTAGACTTGTTACTTGGTTTTAATTTTGAGGTAAAAGCGGATGAATTGTTGTAACCCACCTGTCGGCGTTGGCTTTAATTAACCTTTCTGGTTAAGTGTTCGTTCTTGGACATTTATGTCGATACTAAATTGCCGAAAAGTTGCGATTAAAAGTTCAAAGTCATGGTCAAATGAACATGTAATAATAAAAGTACAACGGATCTTTTAAATCACTGTTCAATAAATTATAAATTGTGAATGAAGATTTCCCTTGGCGACTGTACCTGTCATGCCCATTATCGGTCAAAATCACAGGGATCTGTTATATCAAACCATTTCCCCCCATTTAAACCATGTGCATTGCCACAGGAACTTTCCTATTTTCAGGTCAAAAGATCAACTGGTTTTTATGGCCAATAACTTTATTATCACCCTGAAGCTGATATATTGATGCATTTTAATGAGTTCTGCCTGTAACACCAATATTTTTATCAAAAGGCCAAAGGTCTATGTGAATGCGTGAAAACTTTATTTTTTTTATAAATTTTCAATGTTTACCGCCTCATTTCATTGCATGATAATAATTTTACTTCTTTTAAATTTTTGATGTCTTTTGATATCTCATGTGGTAAGTGCTCGTAATAAATCCTATTCGTTCAAAGTCATATTTTATATGTGATTATATTTGAACGGATTAACAATATCAACTGTTCATCCTTATTAAACTAGAAAACCAGTTATTTCATAAATCTGTTGTAAACATTCTTTAGAAATTACTCGTATTGTACAACTGAGCATAAGTTCATAAGTTTTTTCTATCAGTAAATATCATTATTTTCATGGACTCATATCAATGCTTTTAAAATTTTTAGTACTCGGTAAAGGTAAAGTGTCTTAAAGAACTATTGCGAAAATTAACTTTTAAAAAATCATTTGTATAAAAAGTGAATGTCTTAAAAATACACTTCCGTTTTACCGGTATGTCATAGTTTCATAAACAACAGTCAAGCTTAGCGATTATTTTTGCAGCTAAAAAGAATAATCAATGGAAGACAGCCGTATGCTGTATTGATGTTTTTCTTTATAACCCCTGGACTGATGTATTTTCTTCATCTTTAACCTTATAGGATTTCTTTTCAAAACACTGGGTGTGGGGTAGTTAGGGGTGTAAAGGAGGAGAACCATTTCAGAGATAATCATATTTTTATGTACAAAATATGTTAAGGATATTGTGATCTTTGCTAGTTTGATGAGCATTACTCTTTTGTCACACCGTTTATGTCTTTGCAAAAACAAACATTTATTTCCAATTCAGATACCGCGTTTGTAAAATCAGAACAACAGCAATTCTATTAAATAAGATGGCAGAGTCTAAAAGATGTAAAGATCTTGACAAAACGTCTGAACCTGAACAGAACATCAAATTGACCGAATATTTCCGTCGTCTTCTTAAAAGAGAGATCAATTTTCGTCTTACTAAGGAAGAATTGTGTGACATAATTTGCAGTGTCGACTTTGTAGTTGAAACATTAGTGGCTACTATTTCGTCAAAGGTTGGATGGCTCCAGTTTTCACGAGTTGTTAAAGTAGGAAGTATGGCTGAAGGGACAAGTGTTGGTCGTCCGAATGAATTTGATTATCTAGCAGTTCTGAAAATTGAAGCAGGTAGTGTTCAAGTGGAACGCACTTGTGCAAAAAGAAGAGGTTACGCGCACGTTAAAATTGCTGATCCGAATTTGAAAACGATTTGGGGAAAGTGGATGAACGGTCAATACTTGACCAGCGACTTTACCCGTGGACAATCAGACTTTTTAAGTGGCTATTTTGACAGCTTAGGTAATGCGTTTAAAGATGAGATATACCATGCCATGAATAACGCACATAGTAATCTTGTGTATAGAACTAAAATCGGGAAAATCGAACCAGAATCGTCTTTAAACCTCGATATTAAAAGGCACGGTCCAGCGTTTACACCAAAATTTGTTTGGAAATCGAAGAATAGTGATGAGAAGATTACTATTGAAGTTGATATCACACTTGCAATAGAAGTAGAACTTACACCTGACATTATTTCCGAAACAGATACTTTTGATCCACTTTTCTTCAGGAAGGTTAAAGAGCATGGAAAAGTCATGTTGATTTCTTGTCGTGATAATGCATCTTGTGATGCAAAGCTATGCATGTGTTTGGTATTTACCGAAATCGAAGTTGAGTTGGTGAGGAATATGGGACAGCACCATAAAGAATGTTACAAACTTTTGAAATATATTTTCAATGATGGTCGTGGCTACACATTCCTCCCTTCATATGTTCTGAAGACGCTTGTCCTTAAACATAACTGTCATTGTGAAGAGGAAGAGAATCTAGCAGTTTGTTTCAAAACGTTAGTAGCCTCATGTTTACACTATCTGTTTAACCGAAAAACGGAAGAAAAGATTGAACCAAGCAGATTTGCAAGAGCTTTAATGCTAGGAAAAAGATTTTCCCTGAATATCCCAAGCATCTTTTTTAAAGAGCATAACATCCTATACAGCAAAAATTACAAGTTTCCTTGCGAACAGTTTTTGCAGGAAATCGAAATTATGTTAGAGTCGATCGAAAAAATCAGCTATAGGGAAGAGGACAATGACGACGACGAAAGTCTTGATATAGTTACTAGCATATTTACTGGTGTTGAGGCTTACTTATCAACATTTCCATTTTTCAGAAAGGAAAAAGAATTAACATTTATAAAATGCTATGAATGCTACGGGAACTACTTCAATGAAAATATATTATAAAGATATAGTTGTGATTAGTATGCATACTCATTTCCAGTTACATAAAAATTGATGCGCTGATTCAATGTGGAGTATTTAATAAACACACGTTTAAGTTGGGATATGATTTCTGAAAAATGTAAGATGATATTTAAAAAATGAAATGTATTTTTTTATGAAAATGTCACGACAATCAAAACATATGGAATAATGTATTCTTTTCAGAGTGCTATAGAAAATGTCTTTTGTTTTCCTTTTTAATTTTAATACCCATAATGCCTCAACAATTGTTTTATTTTTATTTCTCTTAAGCTTTTTTATTTTGACGTTCTATAATAATACCAAAATGTTACTCATTGGCCAAATACTTGAACCATGTTTTTAATCGGTGGCGCTTTGGCAGTAAGTTTTTTCATCGGTTGAAATTTGGCAAAAAGTCCCGTCATACATGTAGTGAATTCGTTTTTCGTACGGAAGTAGTAAAAATATTAACATTCCCTGAAACCGATATTTAAACATAAATGATTATAAGATTGATGTTTGCCCTTTCGTGAGAAGGAAACCTTTATATATTTCTGAGGCATATATAATGTACAGTTAAGAGCCGTTTTTCTAGTTTTTGTAAACTCTTTTTTTATTAACCTTGTTATCTGTATAAATTCTACAAGCTGTGAAGGGATGCATTTTTAATCAGTTAATGACAAATGTTCGGGGTGCAGATTTCAAGGCTTCTTCATACTCGATCCATGTATAACATGACAATATGAGCTATAAGTAATAACTTATTTATATAATGAACTATAGAGGCAAAAATGGGCATAAGTTGCATTTTCCATACGAAGGAAAGATAATTGTGTTCCATATGCTTAATATCAATCAACCATAACATGTTACCAATACATATTTGTCATAAATTCATTATCATACACATTTCTGTATTTAATCAGTGGTGTAAAAAACGTTGAATATATCCCACACTTTTATAACAAGGCATGTATTATAACTTTAATACTATAAGAATCTTACACCGGCTGCCGGTACAGACCGGAATATCTAGCTCGAGGGTAACTGTTTACAGCGGTAACGAGGCTCTGCCGAGTTTCCGCTAAACAGTTACCCGAGAGCTAGATATTCCCGTCTGTACCAACTGCCGGTGTTTGATTCTTTTTCTTGCATATTACATGTCAATTATTTTCGGAACAGAAATTATGAAAACTGATATTCTCATTACGCACTTTTTTCTTATAGTAGCGTATGAACATACAACTTCATTCATAACGGAAAAATGACGTCATCCTAAGAACGCGATTCATTCATAAAAGTCGCGCGTCAATGACGTCATTTAAAGCACGCGACTTGTCTTACATGGGGGGTGTAAGACAGAGTTTTCTAGCACCGGTGTAAACGGTAGATAATCCTGTCTGAGATGCAAGAATATAAGAATCTTACACCGGCTGCCGGTACAGACCGGAATATCTAGCTCGAGGGTAACTGTTTACAGCGGTAACGAGGCTCTGCCGAGTTTCCGCTAAACAGTTACCCGAGAGCTAGATATTCCCGTCTGTACCGACAGCCAGTGTTTGATTCTTTTTCTTGCATATTGTATGTCAATTATTTTCGGAACAGAAATTATGAAAACTGATATTCTCATTACGCACTTTTTTCTTATAGTAGCGTAGGAACATACAACTTCATTCATAAGGAAAAATGACGTCATCCTAAGAACACGATTCATTCATAAAAGGCGCGCGTCAATGACGTCATTTAAAGCACGCAACTTGTCTTACATGGGGGGGTGTAAGACAGAGTTTTCTAGCACCGGTGTAAACGGTAGATAATCCTGTCTGAGATGCAAGAATAAGTGATATTCTATTATTAAATTTAATAACAAAATCTGTAACAAATGTACAGAAGTGATTGTACTTATAGAAGTATTTTGTGTATGTATTTATTACAGTTTTAAAGACCTTTGGTTGTCTATTAGAATAAAAAATGATAAAATAATGATTGTCTTTTTGAGTAATTACAGTTGGTCATAAATGATTTTTTCCTGATCAAATTTAAAGGAACTCTGTTGATGTCAAAAGCACACAATTATTAGATTTGAATTTCTTACATCAGCTGAGGAATATAGAACAGATAAATAAGAAATCATATATATCACAAATAAATTGAAAATCGTTTTGTGTGAAAAAGCGATAATTTGAGTCGTCTTTTAAAAATAAGAATAATTATTCTAGAAAAACGTAGTGCGCGAATGATTATTTTGGAAACATGTTATTGGTCAGACTTACATTAGATAAAACAATAATATTAAAAAAATAATTTACAGTCCCTTTCAAACTCACTTATTTAGCTAATTCTTAAGTCTTAACTGTAATTAATTTTTATGCAGGCCTTTTAACTTTTTAAACTACATTTGAATTGACTTTGCGACTTGGGCAATATTGATGTTTTCATTTATTTTTGTTTGTTGTTGTTTTTTTTAAAAATATTATATGATTTATTTGGTTTAACTGTACAGTACTTTTGAACGTGTTAATGTGCATGTCAAACACTTTAGTGGAGTCATTTAAAAGCAATTTGTCCTGTTTTAAGTGCACTTGAACCGCGCGGGTGCTATTTTCTATTTACTGATGTCATGAAGGTTACTTTGTTCTTTGCTTTACTGTACTAAAAATGAGGCTTTATCCATAATGAAATATGGCAATACCTTGCAAGCAGCAGATTATCATACACATCCACTCATGCCTTCGATGTTACTTGCGACGATAGTGTTGAAGATTATGGAAAAGCTGAAATGAATAATTTATCTGGAAGGCAACTAAATACACCAGCTTCTGCAACAATAACAAGGTCAGATTGATATGTCTCGCAAAATCATATCAATGGTATGATACGGATGCATCTGTTTTCTTGACCAACTTGTAGAATTGACATTTGAAAATGTTTTTATATAAATTCATTAACAAACTATATCGCTTGGGTTTTGGTTTAAACATATTTTATTCTATATATTTACATTACGATGAACAATATTTACACAATACATTTGGGATTGGGCAGAAAGCTATGAAAGCTTATGAGTGTCCTGTCCCAGTTTAAACAATTTACATATATACAGTTCATGGCATTATCATGCACAAAATTCATTTAGTTGAAAATATATCAAAGACATTTTCAAAAAATATGTATTTTGCAATTAATAAATACTTAATATATGGTCATGAGAAAAAAAAGCAAAAGAAAAATGAAACAAAATGGAGGTGAAAAAATAAATTATTATATGACAGAGATTAATTTAGTTAGAAGTCGCCGTTTAATTTTCACCTAGGAATGTGCAATCGAAAAGACACTGTTTATTAACGGAGACAAAAGAATGTAATAAGAATCTTAATTGATAGTTATAAAGTACAATTATGTAATTACGAAAAAAACAACAACAAAAAACTACCAGCTAATATTGACAAAAAAAAACAAAAAAATTGAGAAAGAAAAGGAGTGGTGGATGAACAATAATAAAGCAGCAGGAGTAAACAAAGATGCATTATATAGTAACTATGTATGTTTAGATGAACAAGCGTAAGTAAGACTTGGGGTACGCGCTAAAAGCGCTTCGTTTCTCGGATGTATTTTTGAACAGCTGTAAAGATAGTTACATTAGACTCGTAAGATAAAGAAGTGTTTCCAGTAAGAATGACATTTAAAGAAGGATTACAAAATTGGGAAATAGCCGTTATTAATTCTGGTCGAAGGTTAGTTTATTTAGGGCATTCCAAGAAATAGTGATAAGCATTTTCTCTCGGACCACATTCGCAAAATAGAGATTCGATAATATTCTTTTCAAATAGATCGGCAGAAAGCGAACTGCAGTGAGTGCGTAATCTTGTGTGAAAAATTTGAAGTTTGCGATCACCAGAAAGAAAATAAGCAGGCACACTTGGCAAATCAAGGCGCTTAAAAGAAGCTAAGGTTGGGGCATTTTGCGTTTGAGGTGGAAGAGAATTGAAATCTCTGATAACAGAAGGCAAGAATGATTTATAGTAATAATCTGTATTTGTGTGAATATTCTGTGTGTCGTTTGAGTTCCGGAGTGGGTACCGATGCTCACTACCAACAGACGGAGGGACAAGGTCAGAGAGGTATTGAGGGGTAAGACTTTTTTTCATTTTAAAGAAAAGAATCAATTTATGTTTGTAACGCCTTTTTTCCAAGGATTCCCACCCAACTTCTTTCATGAGTTTATCAATAGACACAAGTTTAGTTGTTCCGGTAATTATTCTAGCTGCTTCTTGGTGAATTTGTTCGAGCTCTTTTTTATCATTTTGATTACAATTGTCAAATAATACATCTCCATATTCTATAATCGGTCTAATAAATGATAGGTATATGATTTGTAGTGAGTTCCTGTCGAGTTGAAATTTTAGTTTTTTCATGACATTTATTCTTTTCCAAGCTTTATTTTTAATGTATTCAATATGTGTTGACCAACGTAAATCATGAGTAAAAGTTATACCTAAGTGTTTGTGATTACGTACTTCTTTTATTTGTGTGTTTTGCATAAAAATAGGAGGATGATTTATAAGTCTGTTTGTTTTACGCGATATTAATAATGATTCTGTTTTAAGGGGATTGAATTTTACCAACCACCTTTCGGCCCAAGAAGTTATGTTTTGCAAATCTGTGTTTAGGATAGTGGAAGCAGTGATAGGGTCTTCTACAACAATAAAGAGATTTGTATCGTCAGCGAAAAGTCTTATATTTGCATTAATATCGATAACAATATCATTAATATAAACAAGAAACAACAGTGGCCCAAGAATAGACCCTTGCGGCACACCAGCGTTTATATAACTAAAAGATGATTTACAACCAGGGAGAACGACTCTCTGTCTTCTGTTCTTGAGATAAGAAGAAAACCAAGAAGAAAGACGACCAGATATGCCGATCGAATTTAATTTGAAAATAAGTCCTTTGTGCCAGACTCGATCAAACGCTTTACTTATATCACAAAAGACAGTTCTGACTTCTTTACCAGAATCAATGGCCTGTGCAAAAATATTATATAAATATGTTAATTGGTTGACAGTGGAGTCTCCGGGAACAAAACCAGATTGAAGAGATGTGATAATGTTGTTAGATCTCAGAAAATTAAACGTGTGTTTAAATATAATTCTTTCAAAGACTTTGTTGACTGTACTAATTAGGTATATGGGTCTGTAATTATTAACTAAAGAAGGGTCACCCGATTTAAAGAGAGGAGAAACATTGGGTTTTGCTTGAACATTAGTAGTCAACTTTGTTTGTCGGCCAAAAAAAAAACATTTATTTTGTAGTTTGCTAGTGTTATACTTTATAGAACGAACGAAGTCATTTACTTTGTAAAAATAAGTTTTATAGAAATAGTTATGCTTCGTAGAACGTTCCTTGTGACATAAAAATAGCGAAACAATCCAGGTTTATAAATGTTTACATACGGGAAGGACAAGTAAGCGCAATTGCGGTGCACAATGTTGTGATGCGCACGTACAAGTAATAACTGTTAGTGTGTTTTCACATGTTTACAAATAGAAAAAATGAAGAAAATTAATGTTCTTGCTGTAAGGATTAAGTAAAATTAGTAAAAGCATTACCTTTTATTCAGACTGATATATGTTAAACACCTAACCAAACCAGCTTACATTTTACAGTAATATACTTAAATATTTATCATATTACAACAGTCTAAAATCACCGTAAGTTCGGTTATATTCGCTAATTTATATAGGAAGCCTAAATAGGAACACACTGGAACGGAACCACAGATGATGCATTTTCCTGATTTTGTAGTGTGTCTGTAATTAAATAAATATTGGCACTGCAAAATTTGCTAATATTTATAAAAAAGTGAGCCACAGTCATTGTTTGTCCGATATGGAAAAGATATATTTCTATAAAAATAACGACTGGTCTATTAGACATTGCACGCCTTAAAAAGCCTGCCATTTGTTTCTTTCTTTGGTAAAGATAGGAGAAGTACCGTATTGTTTTAGTTCTTTGCCTTTTGTAACCAATAAGCAATCAAGTTCTCATTGAAAACCCTTCTGTTACATGTTCAAACTGCTATGAAACTATATAAAAGTTTCCAACTGTTCAAACGTGACACAAACGATGACTGGATCATAGCCTTTGTAACGGCATACTCAATCTTAAATTTCCTGTTACCATGGCAACGCGGGGAAATCTCAAAATTGCCAAAAATCACTATTTTGCGTTGATTTTCCCATCAACACTGATTTCAAAGAAGAGCAACTTATTAATGGATTGAGA